GGGGACAGAAAGCAAGGAAAACAAGAGAGAGAACAAGAAAATGAAGTACGGGCCGCTTCACGAGGTCCAGGTGTAGACCCACCGCCGAGAGTCTTTTCACGGTACGTAAATGTCACAACGCATAACAAGGCCGAGCGCCGAGTTCGCCTTTTAGGGCACGTGAAATGCACGTTTCAAGAATAGTCGCAACGAACGCTCATTATGACCACATCCAACCGGAAAGATGGTTTGTATACATTCACAATCAGGGTGCGTTATGTTCGGGGGCAGACAGGAGTTCGCACAATAGACGAGCATCATGGACTGCTGATGGTACGACAGGACTGATAACTCGGGAGTACGAATGTATCCGTACGACAAAGCAATTCTAAGTAAGTACAGAATTCTGCACCACGACAGAATTGCTGTCAAAATCACAAATCGTATACGACCTGCGGCAGCTTCACATAATGGCTCGAGATTGCCTTTCTTCACGCTTTGGTGTAAGCACCCTGTGTGCATAGAATCAAGCAGCTGAGCTTCATAAATTACGCATACGTTTAACCGCTAACGAACGTAGACGGCCCACCAAGACTTGTGTTGAACGTTACCTAATACTAAACCGCATTCAGTACATGCTTCCGAATCTCTCTCTGTCTCTCTCTCTCTCTCTCTGTGCATACATACACGTTCACATCTCTCTCTCACGCATACGTATACACACATACACCGATACAGTGTCACACTCGCGCGCTCACCAATACATACACACGTAAAAATCTCCCTCTCACGCATACACACGTACACATCTCTCTCTCAGGCATACACACACGTACACATCTCCCTCTCACGCATACACACACGTACACATCTCTCTCTCACGCATACACACACGTACACCTCTCTCTCACGCATACGCACACGTAGACATCTCTCTCTCACCCATACACATACACCTATCATACACGCATACACCTCTACACACGCGCGCGCGCCCACAAACGGAAAACAATGGATTACGTTTTTGAGCGTTCTATCTACATAACCGTTAACGGGTAATGGGTCACCAAAAATCGGTTATCGTAAGCATTCTAGCCTCACTCTTCGCAAAACACTCGTATACTGCAATTTCAAAAGTTCGCGAGTACAACGGAACGATTTTTTCTGCACAGTCTACGTAAGTTCCAATTCCCATAGCTCTAGCACAACCAACGATCAGTCATCGAAAGTGTCGAGGCCGCATCTAGTCCGTCAGTACCGACTGATTTATCCGCGGGAATCTTCTCCCCCTGCTCCACGGGAAGGCATACAATGCGCGAACACACACATTCATCCGCAAGACCGACAGAAAACCCGACATCGGCCGTTCCACGTTTAGCACGCACGAAGAGAGAACATGCATTGGGCCTACCTACCTTATGTGTGACACAGACACAGTAGACGTGTGAACATGTGTGCGCTGTGTGTTAAGGCCAGGAGTGAGAGATCGTACATGTGTGTGTCATGAGAAGACACAGAGAGAGGAAGAGATTGTATGTGTGTTTGTGTGTGTTGAAGTGTGCGTTGTCATGGTCGCCAGACTATTTCGTGGGACCATCACCGACTCATCTGGTGGTTGAACATCAGCTGTTTGCCCAGGATGGATAACGACCCCAACGTCGCCCAGGGTTAACGATATCCCTGGGAAAAGTGGTCGAGATTACTCACACCAACACTCCAATCCTAGCCGACTGTCGGTCCAAGCCCCTGACAAGTATGGCAGTAAGTCTGAGACGCTAATCCGTCACAATCATAAAACGAGAAAACCGCCTCTACACACCCACTCAGCCATGTGTGTGTGTGTGTGTGTGTGTGTGTGTGTGTGTGTGTGTGTGTGTGTGTGTGTGTGTGTGTTGTCATATTCGCTAATCCGTCATAATCATAAATCGAGAAAACCAAATCTACACAGCCACTCAGCCATGTGTGTGTGTGTGTGTGTGTGTGTGTGTGTGTGTGTGTGTGTGTGTGTGTGTGAGTGTGTGTGTGTGTGTGTGCGTGTGTGTTGTCATATTGGCTATACACTCAAAAAAAGCATGACCATGACACACTGTTTCGTCGGACTTTCAGCGACTCATCAGCAGGTCGAGTGGATGTGTGTTTGCGTTTTTTTTTTTGTGTGTGTGTGCTGTTATATTCGCTATACACTCAAAAACAGCACGACTGTGCCAGACTGTTCTGTCCCACTTTCACCGACTCATATGTGTGTGTATGAGAGAGAGAGACATACACGCACACACACACACACACACAAAGAGAGAGAGAGAGAGAGAGAGAGAGAGAGAGAGAGAGAGAGAGAGAGAGAGAGATTTACCTGCCCGTCATTGGTTAGCAAAGGCACGCCGGCGTCAATAATCCGAACCGGACGCCTCATTCCAGTTCTGATGTTGATTTGCTCCATGGTGTCAAGATTAAGCGAATACTGCGTTCCAAAGGGATGCGCCGGGCTAGAAATGACTTCCAAATTTATCGATCCCGTCGGGCCGCCATGTACACGCTGTTGCTTCGCATTTTTTATGGTAGCGGACATGGCCTCATTGTACGTGCTCCATCTGGTGTCATCCCGCCACCACACGCCACTGGTCGTCGGGTCGGCACACGGCTGCAGACACATGATGACCCCCAAAACCTCCTAGTGCCGCGAGAATTGCAACTCACTAGCTTCCCGCCAACTGTAAACGATGGCGCAAAACTCAAACCTGACCACCTCCCCGCCAACGTTTCGCTGGAAACGAACCGCGAGTCAAAATTTGCTTCCTCTGAAACGAGTCGCTAATCCAAACAACTCCTTGGAGAGCAAATCGCAAATCGACTCCAGGTCTTATTAGTTGTCCACGTAGTCCTCTCTTATAGTGATTGAATTTCTTTCCTCCCGCCTTGCAGTTCCCTTGCTTGCCACGTCACGCTGGCACCATAGTTCAACACAATCGGCAGTGCCCAGGGTACAAATCTTGAGTAACAATGTTTGGAAATCTACCCACCGATTGCGGTTTTCTTCCTTTACAACCCCGCCGCCGCCAAGTCGACGAAATCCTCCAATCCTCGGCACACACACGCAATCGGCGGTGTCCAAGATGGAGAGCACTGTAGACTGAAATCTGCCGATGGAAGGCGTTTTCTACCTTCACAAGCCCGCCCCCGCCAAGTCCAAGAAAACTGCCGAGAAAATCAGCAGGCTATTTGAACCTATTTTCACGCTAATTTCCACTGCCCCGCCAACTCGAAGGAAAAAATTGGGATTAAACGAGGGGGCTAAGAGGTGGACCCCACTGGGCGGCCGCTGGAAAAACATCATCATGGGAGAGCGCTAGCGCCTTGCGGCCCGCGGACCGCCAGGCACCACACGAGCCTCGGCACCGCACGAACCTCCCCGATGCCGTAGCGGCGCGACTCGAGCTTTCACGGCCTCAGCTTTAGCCAGCTGTAGTGGGTGGCCCCATATGGGATCTGGAGGACGCAGTGAGGCCAGCGCACTGAAGACAAAGACGTGGGGCAGCCACACTAGACAACGACGTGGGGGGCAGGTTTTGCCACGGCAGCCACACGGTCAACGTGGTCAACATGGGCAACGATGGCAATGGGCACGACTGAGGCTTCACTTCAGGGCGCCGTCAGTGGATTTCGCTTCTTCAGACGAGTCAGGATCTTCGCCGACAGAAAGTGGATGAGATGCGGCAGGTGGCTCATGGGGGGAACACACAGCCATATCTCACACACAACAGCATGATGCAGAGCCTTGTGCACATAATCACGAAGCTGGAGGAGGGGCCAGCTTCTTTTTTGGCAAGGTTTATTGACCAGCAACAGGCGGCGACTTTGATGTGACACTGTTACACAGTCTTTGAGGAGGGGCAAGCACTGTGCACCATGTCCATGGAGCGCTGGTATGCTCCGGGCACCTGCAGTCCTCCACACACAAGATACCAAGGCAGCTCTTCCGCATGGCACACAGGCGAATGAATGAATGGCTGGACGCTGCCTCTTTATTTATACCTCTTTGGAGGTACCCGGGCCTGCCTCAAAACATGTGGGCTTGCACCAAATTGTGTGGGCCTAGGCCAAAAAGTGTGGCCCAGGGAAGTTTCCAGACGTTTTGCCTTCTGGGCCAAAACGTGTGAAACCCACAGCGTGTTCCAAAACCTTCCCCATGTGTAGCCCTTACACTTAGTACTTGCTGGCTGGACTGTCCTACGACCTTCGGAATCTAGACTATACAGACCTACAGACAGATTCCAGTCCTCATCAGACTTCGTAGAGACTTCTAGAACAAACTTCCTAAGCCTATTGGTAACAGACCTAGCTGCTAATCTACAGACCTAGGGATCAAGTCCTACTGCCAAACTACAGACTAATCTGGGATGTGGAACAGGTCTAGGGATCGAATCCTACTCAGCACACAGGGTCTATGTACAGGTATAGGGTAGGTCTAGGGATCGAATATCACTCAGCACACGGGATCAATGTACAGGGTTGTGGCACAGGTCTAGGGATCGAATCTCTGTGACTGCAATGTCAGGTCAACTGGGTGAAACCGTTTCACTCCCCCCCATCCTAAATTTGAGGTCCTCCAAGAACAACCTAACTCAAGGCAGGACCTTTAACTGACATTTCGTTAAAACTGACATTTTTTTCTAAATTCACGAAAGTGGACTTAGTCAAAATTATGCTCATCGGGTGAGAAACTGGTTATCTCACTTTGTCCATCTGATGTACCTCAACGTAAAGTACCGTTAACATACATCCGATGGTCAGATCATCGGGAGTCGCCACGACACCCGGTGATCTGATCATCCGACGTCATGGGGACAAAAAAACACTAAAAAATGTTGTTTTTTGGTACGCTCAATTTCGTGAATTTAGAAAAAAATGTCAGTTTTAACGAAATGTCAGTTCTTTGCCCTTTCTTTCCCTCTCATAGGCGTGTACTATGTCGGGAGCGTTTTCCAAAAGCTCTGTTCTTGTGAACCATTGGCCGTCCTCGGGTTCCTGGTATGTGAACCTAACCTCATACTGTTTCTGGGGACGAGCGCGACCTCCGGTCTCGAACACGTCTTCTTCCACTATGTGATCTATGTCATATGCACCATCCATGTCTGGCGAAATCATTGATCTCTTGATTCTCCTAGAAGGGAATCTGTCAGATGTGGTGCAGGGTAACAACTTAGATGCATGGAAGACTATGTACGTGTGAAGGTGTGCTGGAATCTCTATAGTGTATGACGGACTGTCCTCTCCTCCTTGACTTCTAGGACAGGCCGCGGTCCTTTATACGCAGGTAAGAGCTTTTGTGAGATGTTTTTCTCAGGTGCGAACTCCTTTGGCTTGACTCGGACTAGATCGCCTACTTGAAACTGTGAAGGTAGGCGGTGCTTGTTAGCTTGCTCAATCATCCGATGTTGGGTCTTTCTCAGATTGTCTATGACCTTAGCGACTTCTTGCTCATGTTGTATCGCAAACTCTCGTGGTGGTCTGTGTATCTGGTCCCGGTTTAGTCCCTCAAATGGTCGCTTTGGTCTAAAGGACTTATGTAGCTCGTTAGGAGTCCTGCAGGTAGCTAGATTAACACTGTTATTGTAGGCATTAGCTACTTTGGGAAGCATCTCATCCCAGTTTATCTGATCGGGTTTAATATACATTCTAAGTAGTTGTTGCAAGATCTTATTCATCTGCTCTGTCTGGCCATTAGTCTCTGGGTGTCGTCCTGACGACATCAACAACTTAGACTCATAGACATTCATAAGATCCTGCCAATTCTGACTAGTAAACCGCGTGTCCCTATCACTGACTATGGACAACGACATACCACGCTCACTTACCCAGAAGTCGAAAAACTTACTAATGACTAAGTTTGTACGTGTCTCTGAAGGCAAGGAAACAAGTACTGCATACTTGCTGAACCTATCTATTATAACCATAACTTGAGTCTTGTCGTGCCTATTCTTGACCACAGTATCCATGAAGTCAAAGGAAACTGAATCTCTTAGTCCTGACGGAATAGGCAAGGGTCTCAGAAGACCTAGTGGGGCTCTGGTTGTAGTTTTGTTCCGTTGACATACCTTGCAGCTGCGCACATACTCTATGCAATCTGCTTTCATTCCTGGCCATGTATATGACATCATCAGGTTAGCTAAAGTCTTCTGTCATCCAAAGTGCCCTTCCGTATCGTGGCATTCCCCTAAGATCAGACTACGGATCTCTTCACTATTGGGAACACACAGTCTGTCAGCGACATTAGTCTTCTCAAACAGTAGCCCGTTCTTGGTCCGGTAGTGTGACTCAGTGACTCACTATCCGAGGCTTCCCTTACTCTTTTCAGCAGCTCATTGTAGATCGGATCCTATGCATAGGCATCTCTTACTTTCTGCTGCAGATCGACCCCTATATCTAAGTAGTGCACTATTGCGCCGAAGTAATCAGATTTCCTACTTAGCGCATCAGCTACCACGTTATACTTGCCTTTGACGGGTTTCAACTCAAAGTCATACTGGTCTATCTCAGCAGCCCATCTAGTAAACTTGAGCGTCATCTTGGCCTGTGTCTTCAGCCATCTAAGAGTCTCGTGGTCTGAGTAAACCTTGAAGTGTCTCCCAAGAAGGTAGTGTTTTCAGTGCTCTAGAGTCTGCCTGAGAGCGTAGAGTTCTCTTTCATATGTCGATGCTACGATTTTTTCTGAGAGGAGTCTGACTGACATAAACTCTACGGGCCTATAACCGTTGTTGTCATCTTGTTGTAGAATGACACATATGCCATACTGACTCGTGTCTGTAGTAACAGCGAATGGTTATGATGGATCAGCAACTTTGAGGACATGGTACTCTATCAAAGCCTTCTTCAATTTCTTGAAGGCTGACGTACAATCCTGGTCCCACTTCTAGATAGTCTCTTTCTTCAGAAGTCCATGAAGGGGAGCAGCGATCGTGGAGAAGTTCCTCATGAACTTCCTGTGGTAGTTAGTCAGTCCTAGGAATGAGCACAACTCTGTCATCGTCTTAGGAGTTGGCCAATCTCTGATGGATGCAATCTTGCTGTTCTTAGGCTGAATGCCATCGTCATCTAGTACATGGCCTAGGTAAAGGACCTGTGTCTTGGCCCATTCGCACTTCTTCGGGTTAATCTTGAAGTTAGACTCTCTCAGCTTGCTTAGAATCTGCCGCAGATGACCCTCATGTTCCTCGAGGGTCTTGTTGAATACTAGGATGTCGTCTAGGTACACTACGACGAACCTATCTAACCATGGTCTAAACAAGTCGTTCATGCAGCGATGAAATGTAGTTGGTGCATAAGTAAAGTCCAAACAACATCACTATGAACTCGTAATGCCCATACCTTGTCCTGAACGTCGTTTTATATTGATCGCCCGGATGCACCTCTATCTGATGGTACCCCGATTTCAGGTCTATCTTTGAGAAGTACCTGCATCCCTGCACACGATCTAACAAGTCATCTACACGTGGCAATGACTCTGCGTTCATAATTGTGATGGCGTTCAATCCCCTGTAGTCTATACACATCCGAAGCTCTCCCTCCTTCTTTGGGACAAACAGAACAGGTGTGCCAAACAGTGACGAACTAGGTCCGATCCATCCTTTTTCAAGGAGTTCATCTAACTGTCTGCGAAGCTCCTCTAACTCCTTGCGAGACATCTTGTACACTGCCCCCTTAGGCGTTCTACTGCCAGGTTCTCTCTCTATACGGTGTTG